TCTCAGAGAGATTTCACCTGCACTGATTGCCATCAATATAAATGATGCAGATGCAAAATTCGGTTTTTAAAAAAAAGGAGGGACTCTAGAAACGGGGGCAGATGGTATATACTGTATTTGAACCAAAAGTTAGTTGGTATGCATACCAACACCACCCTTGGCCCCTTGGGTGGCTGTGAGAGCAAAGAGTGACACCCCAAGCCAGGGTAACATACATGTTGTAGGAGATCGTGAATGTGCTAAGGTGTAATAAATGGAGAGAGAGAGAGAAAGAGAGGAACACGCCCGGCTTCCACTTTGGACCCAGCGTGTTGACAGCAATGAATCAGGCGCCATCCACAGACACCCGAACACATACGCTACCGGGTGTCTGTAAATCTGCCTAAATGATTCAAAATTCATAAATATTCACAGTAATTGCTAAAATTCTCGTTCATCACAACTAAAGTGGAATCTCGTTGCGATGAAGCCACAATAGCTGGGACCAGAAAAAAGGGTTCTTTCGATTGAAAAATTTGCCATCACGGAAATCTTGTAAAATACAATACGGTATGGTGGCTATCGGACAGGGACCTAAATAACAGACTTCAATGCATTCTATTATTCGCTACACCGAGATTCGTTGTAACGAGATGCCGCTACGTTCCGCTTCTTGGATCCCTCTTCAAAATCTGGAATCTTTACTCAAAATACTGGCACTGTGAACAAAACTTTTTCTCAGATCCTCACAGCAATGTCGTCAAGAATTCGAGTGTTTCGTTTTTTTTTTCTAAAATTAAAATCTGCTGCATGCACTATAACTGTATTTCAATCATCGCATAAGAATGCCTCGACGTTCCTCACTCAACCATGTCAAATTTCATGCCTTTCGGTCTCTATCCAGACATTCCCCACACGCATTCTGGTTTGTATAGGCACCGGGTATACACAACAGTGTAAGCAGAGCTCGGCTCATCGGCGCCACTCACTCACTCTCTCCATCCCTCTCTCTCTCAATCTCGCGCGTCACTTCATTCCCCTTTCCCTCCAACTGCGCCGTAGAAATTGTTACACCCTCAACTGTACATTATTGTACATTCTCGTTCTCCGCGGATCTCGCGACATTTTCTTCCTCGCCTCCGTCGTCATTCCGGTGACTTTTATTTTTCCAATGGGATCTCCTCCAACCATCAGCAGCGTATGAGACTCCCCACGTTGAACCCTGTACGTGAACCTTCATCCGGCACTGACACCTCTGTTGATGCTGGCTGGTTACACGTACAGGATCCCCAATAAATCCTGCTTCCGCGGTCTTTCCATTTACCTGAATGGTGTTTGTTCGGCCTTGAATAGTGAAACACGGTATGTATGTACCGTATGTATGTTGCACTCTCTCCGTGACGCTCGTCGTCCGTCATGGAATTCGGGCTTTTCGTCTTTGGCCGGTCAAGTTACTTGCGCCTCTCGATCTTCGCAGTGCGTACAAAAGTGGTACCATAGACTGTACACGATCGTGGCTCTCGCAATGAAATCTGTTCCTTGGCGAGTCTCTCATCAGCAGGAATTCAACGTCCTCATGAGCACCGGGACGACGTTCTCAAGACGCATTATATCCATAGCACATACAGACAGATTGATGCAGATTGATTATACAGTTCAATACTGTATCCGCAAAAGTTGGGAACCAACACAACTGGTTCTTCTCCTTCAGCTGATTTACAAGAGATTCTCTGTACCCGTATCTCGTTGCCAGCCAGGCCAGAAAAGCGTCTCCGTGGAAACTTCCCGATTCCGACGTCACACGGAATGATGACTCCCAAATTATCCCGTCATGTTTACCGCGTTGAACAAGTTCGTTCAAATCATCCATGCAAACCGTGAACATTCAAGGACGTGGAGAAAACTCGTCGTACATGCTTTACCAACAAATGCCACACGTGACACTTTTTCCATCCCTTTCTTGTGCCAGTACTGTACTCTTTGGGAAGCAACTCGTGTGCATGTACAAGATACAGTACGCCGATTGACCGCCGTCAATCGCATCAAAACATCTCCCGCGATTTTCTACTCTCCTAAACTGTACATCAAATCTATCCATCTCTCTTCTTCGTGTGCGGTATCTCTCAAATAGTCGCCATAGAACTCTTGGTCCGAATCCAGACTATAGTCTCTCATCCTTCCTCGTCGAAGTTTGCTAGAACGCAGCGTATTCTCTGCCGATTTACACATTTCATATGCATCCACATACGGTATACCCTGTACACCATATTTTAGCTCCTGTCTTATTCTCTTATTGGACCCATGTCCAGGGAAGAAATACGCTTTCTCTCGCTAAAACATGTTCTAAAATCTAAATAGGGTACTGAGTAAGAACGATATCCTACTACATCTACAAAAATATACGCAAACAAAATGATAAAAGCCAAATCCATCTTTTCGAAACATCATACGAATCTTGTTCGCATCACTGTCTGGATGAAACCATGCGCTTCTTCATTACATCAGTATAGCCATGCTGCTTCATATCGGGCATATCCATTGGGAAAGTTTCTCCGAGAAACATTTGTCTGGATCCATACTGATACTACGAATAAGGCATATGAACAACTTCGGCTTCTATATAGCTGTGGTTGATGGTCTTGGATCTTGCAATCGAACGGTCTGAATCTACAGATTTTCTTATCGTACATACATTATTACAGCATATGTGCGGCAGAAGACCTTCTTCATTGATTCTTGCACGTAAAAACTGTATATTGATAACATAGTACAGTACACGATCGTTGAGTTCTTGTCTGAATATAAAAACATAAATCCTAATGCAAGGATTTCCTGTTTCACTCTCGCTGACGTCTTGAACAGCCTTCAAAATAGACGGTCCTGTATATACAGGACATCGTTCACAAGCTCGTGTATGAATATAATGTGGTCTTCATATGTGAAACGTAGACCACCTTTCAACCATCAGGATATGAATTTTGCAAGACCTTGCATTTTCATACAACTTCGCAATTTGACTCACAGTAAGGCCAAGTGAGGTTATAATTTGAGAATATCGAAAAGAGCAATAATTGCAGAGATAAGGGAAATTTGAAGCGTTCTGATTTCAATTCAGCCTTCGGGCCTTCGTTTAGGGACAGTTTCGCATTTCGAATGATAGGCAGAAACATGTGGCACAGAAACAACGCATCCCAAACGCAAGAAAGGCTGCAAAGGTGTAATTTATTGTACTCTCTCGCGCAGAGATGATTCTGATTGGGATAGAAAATCACATGATTTTCCTTGCTTCTCGCACATACAAGCAAACCCTAGATTTGAAAACCGACTCGGTACCAATACAAGATTTTATTTGTACCGAGCAACAAACTTGGCAATGGATGAGATACCGGTACCTATTTTTTTTTTGGCAACAGAGCTTTAAAAAAATCGGAAATACGTACCTAATGACCCAAGTCCTAAAGCAAGGTAATTTGAGCTTCAAGTGAGCAAGTCCAATACGGACTCTTCCTCCCACGGTAAGTATAGCTGCTGTTCGCTCTTGGTTTCCACCGGTTTAAGAGAGTGCCACTGATCGTACATTTCAATCTCTCAGTAGGTCACGCAAACTTGAGGAGATCGAAAAGTTAATGGCACCACGAAATATCACATTTGCATCGGCACAGATACTGAACACACGAATGCCTGGGAGATGCAGCCATTTTAACATAATCCACGAAATCCAGAACATGTGTACAAAAAACTGTGCAACATCAACAGCCCTGATGTTCCTCATCACGAACCTCTTGTACAGTATAGTATCTGTGAGAAATAACTATCATTGGACCACTCATGCACAAAACCGGCATAATATGGTTCCCAACCGTCATCTTGGACACATCCTCCCTCCATGACCAGCACACAATACTTGTTGCATCAGCGACTTCTGTTCGCGCTAACCGGTTTGGAGGTACGGTATACCGGCAAAGTATACCAGACCACAAGGGACTAGCATACCGATAACATACAGTGGCGGAAGGCTTCGGAAAACCTCACTAGCAACACCTGACCAATAGAACCAGGAAAGGGTCTTTTCAAAATATGGCACTGTACAGTAGAAGGATCAGAAGACAATTCTATCACCAGTACCTGATGTATCCATCCCCCTCAGGTCTGCCTTTGATCATGATCACAGTACAGTACTGTACATTGGTGCCTTGCCTAAGGAACACCATTCATTCAAATACTGTTTTCTCTAGGCTATTTTTTTTGGATCAGCTTTACCGTACAACTATATATACTGTGATTGGCTCTCAAGAAATCATGCCAGAAATTTAACCAAGTCTCGAAAATACTCAGGGCATTTTGAAGCTTTTCAAAATGTTCCAGCTTGTTCTTGAAAAAAAAAAAAAACTGGACTACATACATACATGTACCAAACAGAAGTGAGACATCTGTACAAGCAGAGAATTAAATCAGTTGACACAGTACGCACAAGTTGCATAGGTGTCACTTTTTTAAATACAGTACAGTCGTTGGAAGGGCTCTCACCCAAACTTGTGGGCAAATAAATATTAAACGCATTAAAATATTTATATCAGGTTAGGTTAAATTATGTTGTTAGGTTAGGCCAGCTTAAAACCTAGGTATATTTTAATGCTTTAAATATTTTAATGCATATTTATATTTTAATGCATGGAAAAACAATCAAGGCGCCCGCCTCCCAGCAAGTGACCCAAGGAAAGACTGGGAGGCGGACCACCAAGCGCAGGGGGCGGGAGGCAAATTATTTGCGGGCAAGTTCTATAGGGTGCCCCCATCCAACACTAGATGGGGACAAACATATTACACAAGTATGAAGGAGACTTGGCAATATCCAGGATTGCATTTCGATTTGGCACATAGCTTTAGTCATGTCGTTCTTCGAAAATCGAATGCTCCCACAGTAAGCTTAGGTTACCCCTTGAAAAATATAAACAGCGCCTTTTCTGACGCGGTGGCCAACTTGTAAAACTTGCCAGAAAGTGATAACATCACATAAGAAATAAAAAATAAAGAAGCTTCCTTCAGTTTACTTCTCCACGTTGCAATACTTTCCGAACAAAAGAACACATATCTCGACGGTTGATATCAAGTCAAACATTGTCCTCGTCCATCAATCCTGAGAAAATTTCGGCGAGAGAAACCGGATCCTCCTCCTCCTCCTCGATAAGCTTTTCGAAATGCTGAGCAAGCGAGGAAACAGCCCCAGCAGGACCCGAGCCACACTGCCGAGACTCATCCTCAGCAGTGGTGGGCGAGGGGTCTCTCAGCGGAGGAACTGTCAACAATGGTGGTGGTCCTCCTCCTCCTGCCTGCCCGGGAACTGCTCTCACATCTGCAACGTAAAAAAAAAACAATAATTTCCTTACACAGTACACTGTACAAGTAATTTGTTGCGACAAGAGAAAATAAATCATACCAGCATCGACATTTCTTCGGTTGGTCTCCAACCTTGGCACCCTGGAGATCGACTCGTCCATCACAGATTTATTCGGAACACGAAGCAAAGGCGATCGTATTTCCAGCAGAGGTGCTTTCGCCGTGTTCCCTGAGAGTAGAATTAAGCAAATATATTCGAGAGGCAATTTCTGAGACTTCTCAAGATCAAACAGGACAGAGGAAAAGCATCATCTCTTTCAATTTTCTTCATTCTCAAAGCTTAATTTGCCCCCAATCGATGAAACAACCCAAAAATCAATCATTCTTTCACCTGTTCGTCCCTCTCTTGGCGACTCATTGCCTCTGACTAGCCGCAACATGTCCTCGTTAGATGGCGCTGAACGTTGATTCCTCGTAACATCGATCACCGACACCTCAGAGTTGGGCGTTTCAACGGGCTTAAACTTGGGGTGATACAGAAAGCCAGGAACCGGTTTCGGAGGATCGGGTTCCCTGCGCATCGAAGAAGACTTGGCCGGCGTTCTTGCATAAATAGACATGGACGCCCTCTTGAACGGCGCCGGATTCGGCCAATTGTCCCTCCTAGTAGACACAGAGTCTCGGCCGTGCTCGAAACGTCGACCACTACCAGAGTCGTGGCGGACATCGCGGGCTACCTCGGGTCGTCCTTCAGAGGGACTGCTGCGGGCAGAAGTTTCGTGGGTTGACGGAGAGCGTCTCGTTGTGGGGTCGAACCTTCCTGGAGAGAACCTCTCGGGTTTCGAATGCCTTCTGCCGTCGCTTTTATCATACTGGGCATCAACGCGATCTCGTCTCTCGTCATTCAATCGTCCATTCGTCTTTCTGAACGTCGCATCGACATCCCATGGACGAGAAGCCAGGTTGCGACTCGATCGTTCATCCATGCCCTGGGATCCAAGTGGCCTGTTCTTGTTATCCACGTTTCTCACCAATACGTCTGACTGAGTACTTCGAGTAAGGACTATCAGGTTTGATTGAGTGCTCGACGCATCAGGCGGTTTTGGTTTCGGCAACGCACCAGAAGAGCCGCTTCCGGTGTCGATTGGACTTCGATGTTCATACTTGGGACTCTTTGCGCTCTCGCATACTGATGACCTGACCAAATCTAAGCGTCCAACGGGTCTTATATTATCAGAGTCACGAGATATATTTTCCGATTTGGTGATTGCAGGATCCGGTCTCTGACTAGCCACACTAGAAGATCTTCCAGTATCGACGGGATCATGACTTTCATACCTAGGACTCCTCACAGAATGAGCATCAGGCGGCCTCGGTCTTTGAACTAGAGTCGAGGATCTTCGAGTTTCAACTGGATCAACGCTTTTATAATTTGGACTCCTCAAAGTTTCGGATTCCACAGCTACGCCTTCAACTAGTCCACGATCCAAGCCGGCAAGAGGTATAATGTTGGAATAGTTGATGGTGGGATCCACCGGATTCGGTTCCATTCTACAAGATCCCCCAATTAAAATTGGAATACGATTCTCGTACTCGGGACTCTTCACTTCCTCAGATCCTTCAACTACTACATTTCCAATCAGAGGTTTCGGCCGAGCACTTCCAGATTCAGCTGATATCCGAATTTCGTTTTTCAAGGCTTTGGCGTTCAAATATTCTGCTGCTCTGCTGCGTTCAGGCTTAACAACAGGCTCTACCGAAGATTTTTCAATCTTCGGAACAGGATGTTGGCCCCAAGAAGAGTGATGAGGCGGTCGAGGTGAGCAGGTATTTGCAGTTACTGATCGAGGCTGAAGAAGTCGACGAGGATCCCGTGGACCCGGACGGAAAGTTCCTTGACCCGAATGGATTGGCTTGGAAAATTTGTTCCTCCCATCTGGAATGAAGACATACTTCAGTCCTCTGGCAATCAACTAGAAAAATTTACTCGAAATAAACGCATTTTTTCCTGATAACAATGCCATAAAAGTTTCGATACGCGCTTCAAGGGCAGAGAAATAACGCAGGATCCACTTGCGAAATACATTTTTTAAGCATATCTGAATTTTTAACGTTTGTACATGATCGACAGGTCAAATCGTTAGAAGTTCTTCCACGCCCGACGATTGTTTGCATTTGAGGGACATTGTTTTTTACTAATCGGTCCCGGAGTAGATAAATAAAGCATCCTGAAAAATGAAAAAAAAAAAATAAAAATACTGCGCCGAAAAGTCACAATTACCTTCAAGTCGTGGCTTGACATCCTTGGATGCTTTATGATACGCACGAGGGATCACAGTGGGCTTCACATCTTTGCTCGTACTCGACAACTGCTTCCCTGATGCTGTGAATAAGAAGATTTTGTTATTCAAAACCCGCAGTCCCTCCTCACGACCGCGAAATATACCATTTCCAGGATCCTGAGTTAACTTGGGTTTGATCTTCGGTATTTTCGGCAGAAACTTGGCATTGCCTGGTGCCGCAGGAGAGAATTTCATCAGCATGTCATCGTTCACCTTCTTCATGGAGGAAAACTTTTCGGAACACGGCGAAAACTTCTTCGGCTTCTTCGCTGGCACGAGGTCAACATCGACATCTTTCGAAACAGATTCTGTTTTCAAGTGCTTTCGCTTCAACTCTGAATGCTCCCGTTTCTCCTTGCGATGCTTCTTTGAATGACGGCGATGCTTCACATCCGAACTGCAATAATTAAAACGTAATAAAATTATTCATTTCATTACGTCAAATTCTCCCACGAGCAGAGCCGCCGAATAAATTCCAGTGTATCTCCACAGCGAGTTGAAGTGAAATAGAATGAGCCAAAACGAAAGGATAAAAATGGTGAAAAGACGCCAAGAGGGAACATGTTATTATTCCACCTGAGCCCGTACAAAAAATACAGACCGGAACAAGGGAACAGCGGTTCCCACCCAACACTTATCGCTCGCTCGTCATCGTCCCGACAGTCCGCGGGTTCAATGGACTTCCGAAGTCGCGCCCATTGCTCAAACAGATCATCGTTCTCGATAATAATGGAGGAGGACTCGCTACATTTCCGACAAGAATAGTGACAGGAAAACATAATAAAAAACGAGTGTGGTTCGAGGAATTTGCAAATTCAAATCTGTCATGTACGTGAACACGTGCATGACGAACTCATCAAACGGTTGTCGTGAATCGAACGCCCTGTATAGCACAGTAGAACCACGGGAACATTCGAAATAAGATCCCGTGAATTCTTCCAGTGCCATTAAGGGAATACAATCCGTATTCCGCGAATTCAATTTTCATCCGCAATGCTCTTGAACAATTCCCACGTCGATATAAAAAATGACAAGAAAATAAAAATCGGGATCACTTTCCTAATCCACATGTTACCACGTAAGCCGCTTAGGATTTAATATTGCACGTGTTCAATTGGATATCCCGCCTCCAATGGTTCCCGCGCAGAGACGGGTACGCTGCCATCTTACCGGCACATCTCCAATGCTCAACGTCAGCACATCACAAGCACGACCTACTTCGAACGCTGGAATTGAGCGAATCTGAGAAATCAACGCCATGTCCTTTCTGGATAGCCAAGCAAACGGTATTCCTGCATCGAGCCCAATACAGAAGCTTCTAGGTCTCTTCACAACTCGAGAATGAGAAATAAAACGTCCGCCTGGCTTTAATTCAGTTTTCTGGTCACAGGTATGAAAATGTTGCCAGCAGAAAAATCACCGAGCTCCAAACGTGGTGCAGTACAGTGCATTACTTCATATGAACTCAGGGAATTGCACCAAGAACTACAAATAGAGGTCGCTTTTGAGATCCAAGTAGAACTCGGTTGATTCTCACAGAGCACTGATAGACAAAGGCAAGGGACTGCACAAGCCCTTTATCCATATCCACCCACCACCAGCACGAGGCAAACAATCATTGTGAAAAAGAAAAATTTTCAATGATCCCTCAGGGACTCGCGGACTTCGCTTGCGCAGGCTTCGACAGCTCTGAAGGGACTGACACCCGCAGCCCGCGACTCACGGGCAGAAAAGGGGCCACGGACCGGATGAAGAAGGGGAGGGGGCGTGTAACAACTGTCACCCGTCATTACGGGCCCCGACTCGGCCTGCGCACATCCCAGCGAGCCAGCCTGTCTGTCTGTCCAGTGTCAGACGCTGCTGGCTGTACCTGCGTTACTGTGCGCACGCGAGGGGAACCGTAATTGCCACCGGACGCACTCCAGGTGCGCCGGTAATGAACACGAAGCAGCGCGCATATATTCGCCATGTCTTCTTTTTTTTTCCCACCTTTAGTTTCTTTCGTATGATCCTTCTCCCTCCTGGTTTCCATCATTTCACCTGGTTTTCACATCCCCCTCCCCACAGAGCATCATCCTCCTTTTCCATGACACATGCTAGTGAATCCAAGGGTGCTCCATAAGTGGGAGGGCCTCACAGGGAATGCACAAGAAAGGTAGCTAGCAATTTTGGCAGTCTAAGATGTATTCTCTAGCAGATTACAGATTGCAATACTGCATAGCCTCAAGGCAAAAAGTCCATCAAGGGACACCAGGTACTGTACAGTATTAAACACCAAACAAATCCGATTAAACACCAAACAAATTCGATTAAACACCAAACAAATTCGATTAAACACCAAACCACAACAACAAAAAGCACAGTCACTCCCAAGGTTAGAAACTTGAAAATACAGTACAGTATATGACTGGTTGACATGCACAGTCTCTATGACTGCCACTCCAGCAAAAGTTCTTCCTAGCCAGAGGCCCTGAGCTGCCTCTGTATGCATAGTCAGCATTACACACTGGTGAACCACCCTCTACAACAGGTACAGGAGACTTTTCCCCCAGCAGTGGTCGTCAGCATCAATTTTAAAATGGAGAATTTAATGAAAATACTGCCAAAAATGGAAAGTTGATGGAATAGTTTCACAAAAAAAAAATAACGGCAGTACTGGCGGACTTTCATGCCAAAAATCATGAGAGAGCTTCAAAGGCTCAGCGCTTGTCAGTCTCGAGGATACCCGAAAATTACATTTTTACAAGCAAAGTTTGCAACTTACAGGTCCACCATAGTGGACCGAATTCCATTGCAAAAATGAAAACAATTGCAGAGGAAATCGTGACAGAATAAGAAGAGTGAGAGACACCGGGATGACTGTCTCCGTCATAATGTATCCCCTTTTCCTCTCTCCCTCTGCATCGTTGGTAAAACTTTTGCATAGCCCCCTCCTCATTGACTTATTTTTTTATTTAATTTCTTCTCCTTCTCCTCTTTACCTGTTTCGTTTCGCGTGGAAGTTTTTCAGCTTTCGGTTCGCGATCTACATCGTCATCATCGTCGCCGGCGCGGAATAATTCAGCCGACCGATGGGAAACTAACGCAACGGAAACGGGGCACAATGAGCCTCGGCCAGCGCGAGGGAAGAGGAGGAGGAGGAGGAACACCCGGCACCGGGCTTTTCCGCCTGCAGCTTTTGCGTTCAACCTTCTCCTGTACTTCATCTACAATGGCCTAAGAGTCCAAGACTACTCATTGCACCTTCAAAAGCAACAAGAGATGAGGGATTCCCACGGCAAACACGTGATGCTTATTGTATAACATCTACAGATCGTATTACGTTGAACAGCAGCAACAACAACGAAAAGAAACCCATCTTGACTTCCCTTCTTATTATTATTTTTGTCAAATCAAGGACCTGCATGGTACGCGCCAAATATTCCCAGAGGATCCCTCCACATGCTAAAATGAGCAATTTTCTTTTTTCAAGTTCACACTCCCCATCTTAAAGAATCATTTCTTTCTTGGTGGGTAAAAGAAATCAGCATTTCAGTCATGTGTTTATAAAATTGCTCCTATTGTCTCTAGAGTGATGCATCATCAATGACCAGACTCTTAAGAGATAATTTGGGTTTCAAGTCTAGAAGAGAAATGAGGAATAGTTTTTCATAGCAGGTCACGTCCAAAAGTGAATGTCTCCTTCCCATCATTCATGCTCGGAAGTTCTGGAACAACTGGGGTAGGCATAAAAAGAAAAAAGAAGCGAGAGCTTCACCCAATAGTGTAGACCCTCGAGGGTTGTTGCACAATGCTGTGTGCTAATTATTATTTTTTATAGGACGACAAATCAGTAACAGTACAATACACGTACAGTATTTGCATAGTACAGGGCAGTCAAGGAAAAGCTGCCGCGGAAAAGACGAGACTGTCGTCAGCTTGGCTGCACAGAACTCAGGCCTGCCTGCGTCTCCGCCTTTGCCCGCATGCGCACGCAGCCAGGCTCAACCACCACCACCATCATATACTGTACCTACCTACGTACCTAGCCACCTACCGGGTGGCAATAGTATTCAACCTCTTTTTTTTTCTCAGCAATGCCCGAAAGGCATCACGAATCTGCACCGACTCCAATGATGTGGAAAACAAGTTTGCCTGTCTCGCTCATTTCTTCCTCTGACACTTGAAAAAAAAAAACATTTTTTTTTCCACCATCAAATTCCCTAGCATTCATTACCAAAATACCCTGAAAGCCCTAGCCAAAACAAAAGCAAGGGACCAAGTTTCCATAGTTTGAATGAAATCGCAGATCTGGTGTGAAATTATACCATTAAAGAATTGAAAGAAGAAGAAAAAGACAGAGTGGAGAGAAGGCGTTAAAAAACACAGGATTAACGACGCCACTGGTTACTCCAACATCCGATCCACACTGACTCAAATCAATAAACCTCAACAAAAGAAAAGAAAAAAAAACGTGCAAGGAACTTCCGCAGGGTATTTCAGAGTCGCCTCCAAACTCTTGAAGGCAGCCTTGCTCTTTATGTGCAACCGTTCTTCTTCACCTCTGGGGCACAAGGGCATGGGAAAAAATACTGCATGAAAATAAATTGTATCGAACTTGAGAGTAAACCAATTTGGCTCACCATGTGTAGAACAAAGATAAGTTTCACAAAAGATTACACCATCTTGGGCAATGTGACTGGTGACTTTGGTAGTGACAAGAGAGGTAACCCCCCATTACAGTACAGTACAGTACAGGTAGACTCCCTCACTCTATCTTGACCTCCTCTTCTTACAATGCATAAAATTCTCAGTAAGCTAAAAGTACTGTGCAGTATTTTGAGAAAATTGTTGCGCACAGGACCAACTAGCATCCTTATACAAGACTTGCCAAAAATAGGAAATCAATGCGCCACTCATCCCAGAGAATATTCCTGCAGATGAGATCCCCTTTCCAACTTGTGGTTCCATCTATTCTATACAGTTAATGGCCCTTGGCAACAGCAGCAAAGGCCTTGCATCAGATATAGGTAATAAACAAGAGCCACAAAATTTGTGTGTTGTTGTTCTTGGAAAAAAGAGAAAAGGAGACACACCTGGTACGAATATACACATGCGCAAAGGAGGAGGACGAGGAGGGAGGGGGGGGGGGGATGCCAGGCAGGCCGGCCGCCTTCCCTCAGGCCAAGGAACCGCGTCTTCCGGCCAAAAGCCGGCAACCATGCAATCAAAAAATGATTGCCTGGCTTCACCGGCAGAAAAACACACCGATTCCTTCCTTCCTTTCCGCGTTTCCTTTCTCTTCTCCTCCCCCCCCCCCTGTTCCGCACCCAATTGTTATATCCGCTCTCCCTGAACAGCCCAACTGCTGGAACGCTCCTGTTCATTTATACTCGCACTGACTATATAGAGTGGGGAATAGATTATACTCTATTTTTATACTTTACATTTTTTTTCATTTTATTTTTCAGAGGAGAATCAGAACCGTCCGCTTCCCCACCACGTTCCCTTCTTCATCAAATTTTCTTTTTTCTTCCACCCATCAACAATTGACAAGTGTGCAACACACCTTGCACAATACACATTTGAACGGCAAGAAACGGCAAGGAGGTGATGTAAGAGACAAACCCCATTCTCACATCCGAAGTGAATTCATAGTCACTTTCCCCCACAAAAAGCCAATCCTAAAGAGTTGCCAGTTTTTCTTTGAAAAAAAGAAGACAAAGAAAGATTAAAAAAAACTTGGCCCTTCCATTTCTCTAGAACAGAATGGAACCAATGTCAGATCTCCATCAATCAT